GAACAAGTGCATCGCTACTAGGAACAAGTGCCTTACTAGTAGTAACAAGAAGCTACTAGGAACAAGAGCATCGCTACTAGGAACAAGTGCCTTACTAGTAGTAACAAGAAGCTACTAGGAACAAGTGCATCGCTACTAGGAACAAGTGCATCGCTACTAGGAACAAGTGCCTTACTAGTAGTAACAAGAAGCTACTAGGAACAAGTGCATCGCTACGACAATAGTCGTACCATGTCGTACCCATGTTTCCCCGTGCAAATCTACCCTCACAGCATCATCGCACCTGCATCATCGGACGATTCGGAGCCTGAAAGCGTGGAACCTCGAGAAGGCCAATGATTTCTGTGAAAAACTCAGAGAACAATCAAACGGCCAATTTGGGCGACCGGGGTCTGGGCCGGTTCTTTGCCTCCTCCGAAGTTTGACTGGCTTTGATTTCGCACTTGGGCCTGGCGCCCAGAAAGTGAAGGCTCTGCTTGCTCTGGACTTTGAAGCAGCCAAGTTTGATCAGCACTTAGTCACTTAGTGACGTGGCCAGCCATAGGTCATATTACATGTGATCTGGAGGACCCTTCCAATGGCCAAGTATATAGCAACGTCAAAAAAGAACACACTGACGGCTATGATAGCCGCAACGCAAACACTGATGACCAAGCAAAATACCTTGTCGGTGGTCCAGTGCTGGGCCTCCAAAACTGCAGTCATCCAGGCATATGGGGCCATTATTATATAGAATCTATATAGATATTGTCAGTCAATTGCCCGGTGTCCCTCCATCCCATTTGCACTGTTTTGTACTGCAGCCAATGCCCTCGGCTCAAGCTGTGAAAGCAAGTGTGCCAGAGGCATCGCCGGAAGCACTGATGCGACAGCTGCAAGGGCTGTGAGGTCAGGCCTTGGTTGGACGTGATAAGGGCTGTGAGATCATGGCATGAAACATTGGCCTTGTGGAGAAAGGGTGCCACCACAAGCTCCTTTCTTGACTTGGGGATAACGGGATAACTGAATGATCAAAGGCACTTCAGAGTTTTGGCACCCGTGTTTTGTTCAGCAAAGTTGCTTTCAAACATATAATAATGCCACACACGCACACCAAACAGTCATACTATGAGTTTGGATATCAGAGTCTCAGCTGAATGTCAATCATTACCCCCTTTGGCCAAGCCACTCGGAAAAGCAAAAAAGAGAAATCGCTTGCTGCCACTGCTGACCTCAGTGCAGCTCGGCCTTCTGACCACCACGGTTGGATCAAGCCAGTGGACTGAAAGTTCGGCTCACACAGGTGCACTAGTTGCCGTCAAAGCGCACCGAGCACAAGCATCCACAACTGCGCTCAGCGTAAACTCATCCGGGTCCAAATTGGAGAAAAGCGCACAGTCCTGGTAGGAAGGATGACTGCGTGCAAGGGAGCGATTGTTGGAGCTCACAGAACGCGCAGAACGTTTGCGAATGTGTAACGGCATGTTCTCTGCGAATGATCCAAGAGAGGTGCAAGCCTTGTCTTGGATCAAGAGCGAACATGACGAACAGCTTCTTCTATCCCTGATTGGAGGCGAGTTGCGAAAAGAGCCAATGTTAAATACCAGGGACCGCCTTGTGCACAAGCACCTGGGACGGAAACCAAGTGAAACCACAAGTGCTTCATAAAGGCTCAATGGAAACTTGAAGCCGTGTGCTGAGCCTTGGCCATTTGTGGCCATGGATTTGGAATAGCACGTTGGGAACTTGTTCATCAATTCCAGCTTGGTTGAGTCCAGAATTTACCGTATCTGACACCTTCCACAAACACTCGGAGGAATCCATTCCATTTCTACGTCCAGCGTTCCGGCGTCCCGGAGCGAGGATGGGAGAACGATGCGTAAAAACAATTAAACATACTACAATCAAATAGAACCGAATACAGGTTCGTGTAAGCCTGCATACAGGTTCATGAGGGGAGATACGATGCATGTAAAACATTGTAAAAGCATGTAAACAAGCGTGATTGTTGGCCATGCAGAAGCGCACGCAAACCCGACACTGAAGCCCCCGAACTCATGGCTGCATTGAAGGAAATCAACGACGCCTCGGCAGAGTGGGAACGCAGTTGTGAATGCTGCAGGTCAAACAGTACGGTGATCGTTTAGTGCAACCCACATAGCTGATATTCCAACAACCCTCAGCGAGTTCATTGTTCACCTGGCCTCAACTGTCAAGCAATTCATCTGTTCAAGGAGCATCAACGCCATAGGCCATCTTCCGCCTCTCTCAGGCCAGCGGCAGGTCAGTCGGTTGAGCAATCGGACACCGGTGATACTTGGCTCACTCGGCGTCGGCTGGGAATGGAAGCGTGCATCGGTGGTTGAAGTCACAGCCGATCCGAAAACATTCCAATTTGTCTGTGAACACCAGTGAGATGGAAGTTAGTGCAGTGCAATACCAAAGAAGTAGTGTGTTTGAGTTGTAAACATGCTCAGCCAAGCTCTTACCATCATGCTAGTGTGCCTTTTTCGCATGCGCTGATCGCTGCATTGAACACCACATCGTTCAATTCAATGTTCATCGCCTGGAGTCCGGTGAAACATCACCCAGCTGCAACTATGTGGCGCATGCTTCATCCAAACATGATTAAAAAAACAACGCACATGTTAATGATTCAAAGATTCCAGGATCGGTTTCTACTGCCTTTTTGTGCAATTTGTCTTTCTTTGGACAAGAACGCCGCCCTCAAATTGCGAGCTCCGAATCCCTGGTCGCGCCTTTGCATGCTCCAAGATGCTCAAGGCCAAGTCCCACTTTCCGCCGGCCTGTTGAGTGACCAGGAAGAAGAACTCTGTTGAACTTTTGTTTCTTCTTTAGTCCGCGGCCCTGACTGCTTCTTTGCTTGATTAAGCAGGTGCCCACTTAATTAAGGAGTTAAGCTACTAGCAACAGGAAGCTCCTAGCTAGGATGCAGGATAGCTCACGCTTCTTCAAGGAAGCTCCCTCGCCTGAGGGCTGGGGGAGCTTCCTTGAAGAAGTCCTCGTTTTGGTACCTAGATCTTTAGGGACACTTAATATGGCTATAATATAATATCTTTAATGTATATATTTGAATTATGCATATTGAAATATATTGATACATACAATTTTCACTGTGAAGTCATATTATTTCGGTATCCACCCATTGCTCAATCTGCATGTTGCCAAAGCATTGGGACTTAGATTTTTAATTTAGGCTTCTCGTTGCCAAGAGCGGGCTCAACCTTGAAACAGTCCTTGAAACATGCGAGAGTTGACATGTCTTCTGTATAACTTGCAAGAGGCTGGGTAGGCCTCGCAAGCGGTGACTGCTGCTCCAAATGCCACAAGATCAGGTTTCAAAGCTCCTGAGGTCCAACCACTTGGCTAGGGCAGCTACTGCAGGAAAAGCAACTCCAAACCAAACAGGCAGCTCCAATCACCAAACAACCTTCCTTTTACAGAACCACTGGACCACTGGTTGCTTAAAACTCTGCGCCTGCTTCGGCATGGAAAAGCTCCAACGAGACCTGGCCGCAAATCCATCGGCACAGGGCTGGGAAAGTTGATGCCGCAGCGGAATGCAATAAATTGCAGGTGTCGCAGCATACCAAACAAGGGGCATCGCTACTAGGGGCTCCTGGCATCGCTACTAGGAACAAGGACGCTACTAGGAGCTCCTGGCCTTACTACCAGGAGCAAGAACGCTACTAGTGACAAAGGCCCTTTGCACTATATATACAGTAATTACTATAAGTACTATACTACCATACCACAATGATGCATGCCTTTGGTTCAGGTCATGCTACCAAGCCCTACAAAGTCCTGCAGTTGCTAGTCCATTACCCTTATGCAACCTGCAGAACCGGCAGCGACATGAATTACTGTACCCATGTCTGCAAATGACTTACGCTTGCTTGCGATGAAACAAATGAGAACCCCACGCGACGAAATCCAGCAACGACTAATTAATTTACCCAACTCAGATTGGGTCTGGGAGTAGAACCAATGAACAGCATAGACATAGACCGTGAATGTGCAGTGCACCAGCAGTCCATCCAAGACGAATGAAGATTACATAATGAAGCAGCACGTCTGTGCCGGTCACCTGCCATTGGCGTCCCCGTGCTGCTGCGCTAATCGCCCCGTTAAAGCTGGTGCCGTCTGGCCGAAGTGCCTGTGCAGCTCAAGTGTTGAGCTCTGAATGGATCACACTGTGGCTGCACTCAACATACTCTCAGTTCCTCTGGCTCGCTCTTTCTGCCCTCTCTCTCTCTCTCTCTCTTTGCAGGAGTCTGCATTCCTCTGACGTTCTTATTCTCCAAGGCCCTAAGGCTGAAGCAAGTGAAACAGCTGGTTAAGGACCAAAAACTACTGCCACTTGAGTATATAAACTGTCCAATGCCTCAAATGCTGGTTTCTGGAACACTACAGGCCGGTGCCTGTCTGGCAATCTCTTTCAGAACCTCCACGGAATACTCCCAAGCCCCTGGTGCCAGCAAACCACAAGTGCACGAGATCTCAAGCCACCAGCTAATAGCAATGCCCTTGCTCCTACTGAGATCTTAAGCTTGTTCCCCTTTCTCATTGAGTTTTGGAAGCTGGTAAAATTCCTGCCAAATCATGCAGCAGCCTGTTGACCAACCTCCCAAAACACACACAAACACAAAGAAAACACAGCACAGCACACACACACACAGAAACCTGCACGTGAGTGCATGTTGCAAGCCGCGAAGGCATTTGACACGTGGGCGGTTCTTGTGAGATTATGAACACCTAAAGAATCCCATTACAGCATTAGAGAATCCCTCTAAGCCCAGCTTACGCAGTTTACCCGCCTCCTTTCTCACAAGCACTTATCGCTGCATTGTAGGATACTACCTGGGCTCACAGTGGCTTACAGTATTTGCATGTGACTCCTGTGGAAGGTGTGGTGACTCTGAACCCATTGAACATCCAACAATCCATCCAACCAACCTTCCATCCTTCTGTGAGGCACCAAACAACCCAAACATGTGGATCAAGGATCAAAGCTGCGTTCGGTCGCAGCATGGAGCGTCGGATCTCTTGAAGCAACTGCAAGGCCCACTGCCATTGGCCATCTTTCTCGCAAGAGCTGATCACCTGGAGTTTCCCGCAAAGAATAGGCTTTACTGAACGAACAAGGGGTGGCAATTATCACCGTCAACTACATAGTATATTGTAATACAATAATGTACATGCAATAGATGCAACTATTGCATACTATTGCACAGCATGCATCACAAATACATATGTACATATGTATGACATAGAACTGGAACAGTGCAGCTTGCCAGAAGGGCAACAAAATATGGCCATCCGGCGCATGCCAAGATTCTCGAGGGGTGAAACATGCACGGCGAATCTGGCTCTCGCATGTGCTCTAGGTGCTCGCTAGTCAAAGCTGCCCATGAAACGAGAAAGCAGTGAAGCTGAGATAAGGAACTGCGTTGAAGTTAATGAGGTCCAAGTAAAAGTGCTCCTTGACCAACACAGTGCACAAAGGACTTCCGAGGCATACTTCAGACATGGTGGGGAGTTTGGAGACGGAGGAAGGCCAATGGAGATTCAAACAAATTCTGACGCTCAGTACTGTATGCGGTATTAATTTCTGCTAGCTGTTGGTACAGCAGGATAGCACGGTGCATTCCCGGATTTCATGTTTAAGTCGACCCGCCATGGGACTATAGAAATGCCATCAATTTGGTGGTCTGAAAGTGGAGTGAACACTGCACACTCTTTTTGCATTGAGAAAACAAACGGTACAGCTTTCGCGTCAGGAGTCATGAGTGAAAATAATGTGCAAAGGCCTTGTGGTGCACATAAACTCAGCCGCAAGTCATCAGGTGGAGCAACAATCAGCAACATCCCTGTACCCCGCTTCACAAGCCCAGTTTGTTTGAAGTTGTTTCTACTCTCCTGGCGGCTTGTGTGGAGCAGCGACAATGCCATCCTCCAGCTGCGCTGGAGTGGAGGACCCTTCCGGCAGAAAAGGTAGAAAAGGGAGCTGCAGTTAAAGTTCACGGTTGAAGGATCATTTTGGGAAAAGGTTCAACATAACAACGGAAGCACCCTCAATCTCGTAATTGCATCATGCTACATCTAGTTTACAATAGTTTCCATTCATATACATTATATATATATAAATATATTTATACATTCTACACTGGCTGCAAAAGTGCCAAATGCTTGTGCCACATTGTGCAACAAGCGTCTTGCCCAACGCCTGTGGCACTTCTCACACGAGCTCAGTACCGTGCTCCGCAAAGCAGCATCTTGGGGGATAGCCTTTGCACAAACAGCTGAGCTTTAGCAACACCCACTGTACAACGCCCAAAGTAGCTCCCTGTTACACTAGCAGGCACTATTGTCCTCACCTCAATGATCGATTGATGTAAAACTCGAAGTGCTGGCAGCCATTGATGACCCTTCTCCTCAATAGTCCGCGGTCATGCTACCCACTGCCCAAGCAAGGTGCGATAACGTATTAGCTTTCCTTGTAGCACAACTTGAATGAAGCTAGTTGGCTGGCCCACGCACTAAACCTAAACATTAATCTACAATCACCTTATCAAACCATGTAACATCATGTAACCATGTAAAACTTCATCCAAAATCTCAGCAGCTTCTGAAGCAAAAAACGCAAACAGTCAATGAAAACACTGATGTCCAAGCTTCTGAAGCGCTACTCACCGCACTGAAGCTCAAAACATCCGGCTGGGTCATGTGCTTCAAGTGGCCCAACTGGTCCAAGCACAAGGTCCATTGTCCAAAGCTTGCCTGAGATGTGCTTTTATTTCTTAAAGCTCATGTTTGTCCAATGACACGGCAAACATGGATGTGGAATTCTGGACGCATTTTTTGGTTTCCTGCTGCAGGGCTGCAGGGCAGTGTGGCAAAGCATGCCCCTGTCTGACACATTCTGACACTAGTTGTGGCGATGCCCACGGTCAAAGCTCGAACTTTCAGACTTCGACAGCTTCCGCAGTTTTGATCCACTTGATTGACATCTTGGAAGGAATGTGTCGCCAGGCGCCCAAGATCGTCCAGCGATGTCCATGGTGAAATACCTGGGCTCCTTTTCTGCACCAAAAGTGAAGCCGAACAAAAGCAAAAAGGCTTGTCCTGACATGTCCTGGCAACGTGGCCATGCTTTTGCCGTTTCGTGGAGACAAGTCGTTGTCACTCGCAAGCTCATCGTCCCACAATCGGTGGATGCACTCGGAGACATGCTCTGCTTGAGCAGGTTCAAGTTCCTGGACGAGAAACTGCTTCATTGTTCTTGCCATCTGTCATGGGCAGCTTTCTGCGCAGTCTGGAAAGCTACATCGATCGCAGACCGGCAGCTCGGACAACTTCCTGTCTTTTGCATCCATGGCTTCAAGCACTGCTCATGGTAAAAATGCTTGCACGGAAGTTGAAACACCTTTTGGTTCTCTTTAAATCCGTCCAAGCATACTGCACAAAGTTGGGACCTTTGTGAAGAAGTAGGGGAGGTAGTGGCTGGGCCACCATCTTCAGAATCAGGTTTACTAAAGGATGTGGTAGGGCTTCGCCCCCGCTTTCGTCTCACAGTCTTTGACAAACTTGAAGCCACAGCCTCATGAACGGGGACCTCTTCAACACGAGCCGAGCTCGTGGAGGGTGTCTCGGACACTGGAGGCTCGTCGGAGCAAACAGGGCGATGGCAGAAGTAGCGCTGCCTTTCTGCATCCCAAACGAGGCCGGGCACCAACCCTAATGGCCCCAACGGCCCGAACGGCGGCCGCTCCATGGCTCGGAAGGGAGATTCGAAGCGAACAATGACTCGGTGTCTCCGTGAGCGACTCCAAGAGCAATGCAAAACCGGTGTGGGTAAACTGATCCCTCCGCTGCGGCAACACACGTCCTCAAGCGTGAGACCTTAACACACGTATTTTGGCGGACAAACCATTCGCATGCAGCCAGCGCATCCCAAGTTACGCAAACACCCAGCACGGCGTTGTTGCTAATGCGATTTGCATGCAAGCCGCTGTGCAGCCTCAAAAGTCTAAATCCCAACCCCACCAAGACATCTGAATCATCTGCACCAGCTAGAGCTAGGAGCAAGGACGCTACTAGGGGGTCCTGGCCTCGCTACTAGTAACAAGAAGCTAACTCGTAGCAAGCTTAGCACACTTTTGTTGCATGCTGTGCGGCATGACATCACTCAGCGCCACAGAGCGTCGCCAAGGACCACCAGCGCTGACTGCTCCGAAGCTGGCAACGCTGGGCTCCAGGTTAGGCCTAGCAGAAAGTAAAGCACACCCGGAAACCCAAACAATCCAGCTTCAGCATCTTTAGTGTTTCTGGCAGGCTGAATTTTATTGAATTTTAATGGCTGCGCTTTGCCTCTGCAAAGCAGTCAGGCATCGCGTAGCCACCTCCCAACCGCTGCTTTTCATGCACCCATTGGCAAGCCTGGGGGACAGCAAATCAAGTACTAGTCACTTGTCGCATGTCTTCATGTCATGTTCCTCCATCTTACATCATCTTGCTTTGCATGATCTCTGAGCCTAGGATTGTGTAAGAATACTCACACCACATGTCACCACTGCCTTCAAACGCATCACGCTACCCACACCTCTCCGTACATTTCCTGATCCCAGCATATCTAAGCAAGTAAATGAAGAGGCTGCCGCTCTGCAGCTATGAGTCGTGTTCCACGTGATGACGTCGGGCTGTGAGCCTCTCAGGTCCTACAAGTAGGCTCAAAATCAATCAACAAATTGGCGAGCGAGACTTGCAGTGTGCACTGATACAGTCAGAATCGTCAACATGTTCAGCATGCATGGTTGAATTGAACGGCTGGAAACAAGACTTCTGAACCCACACAAAGAACATGCAGTGCCGCAGCCTTGAAGAAACACATATCATGTTGAAACAACATGGCAATGGGAACCAGCTGGCCACCCTTCAAGGCGGTCCATACTCATCTTCAGCGAGAGGGCCACAAGCCAACCACCTGCTTTTACAGAGTTGAGTGCAGCGTTCAGCAGGACAATGTTTGCCTGCAAAGTGGCCTGGCAAGTTCTCATTTGCAAACAGGTACTCCATCTCCATTCGGACTGACTTACATGGTCTGCTACTCTACGAAGGTCTCAGTGCTTTTACTCAACACCTATGCCTTATGCTTAAACATGTGTTGCGCATTGTTGCGCAACCCAAAGAACAATTGGTACAGAATATTACAGAATCAACACAACACAATCCATGCGTGGTGTTGAGAGGGAAGCCACAAACAAATGTTGCCACTCTAATTTCACTGAACTGCTTGAATACAGGGGGTCGTGCCTCTTCCATGCAGTGTAGTAGCTCGACAACGGTCTGCCAGCGTCTTTGACGCCCTAGAGCATCTACTGCAGCCCCCAGCAGCGCCACTGAGGGCACCTGTTACAATTCCGACCATTCAACAAAATAGGCCATACAAGACATGCATAGAAATGCCTGCAAGGAAAGCAACATATAACAGCCTGGGCATCCTGCAGCACCTGCAGAATGACCTTGGCATATCTGCATGGCACGTGTGCTCACATGTCCAGTGTGTCGAGCCGAAGAAAGCCATGATTTGGAACCGGTGTTGTTCGCATGATTTGGCATGTCTTGGCTCGAACGTTTCGGCTTGAGGCTTCGGGTGCATGCTCGTGATACCTCGAAGCTTTGGTGCACAAGTTGTTCAATGTAGTTTCCTCAGCCATTCAGATTCTTCAGCCGGCTGAGTTTAATGCTCCCTGTAACCTTGTCGCTGTAATGTTGGATCTTGATTTGTCAGCACCTCCCCTGACAAAGAATTGGGGAAACCTCGATGGTGAAGGCGCCCCGTAGTAGGAGAAATCGTCCTCGTCGTCGTAGTAGTAATAGTCGCCGCCGTAGTAGTAGCAATAGCAGTAGCAGTAGAACGAGAAGGAGGAACAGTAATAGTAGGAGTGACAGTCGCCGTCATAGTCGTAGACGTAGTGATAGCAGGTAATGGCAGCGGTTAGTGATAGTGGTCGTCGTCGTCGTGTCGACGTCTGATTCGGTAACTATGATTTGGTAACCAAAAGCGCTGATTCGGTAACCAAAACCGTTGATTCGATAACCAAAAACCGCTGATTCGGTAACCAAAACCGCTTATTTGGTAACCAAAATCCCCTGATTCAGTAACCAAAGCCGCTGACTCGGCAACCAAAACCGCTGATTCCGTGACCAAAACCACTGATTTGGAAACCAAAACCATGAAACCAAAGCAATACAACATTTCCAAAAGAAGAAACTGATGATCTGGGTAGTGGTTGTGTTAGTAGTAGTGGCAGTAGTAGTGGCAGTGGCAGTGGCAGTAGTAGTAGATAGTAGTAGTAGATAGTAGTAGTAGTAGTAGTAGTAGTAGTAGTAGTAGTAGTAGTAGTAGTAGTAGTAGTAGTAGCATTTCATCACAAGACAACCAAGACCGTGCGTGTGTCTCTCTTGGTGGTCACATGTTTTTCTCAGACCAACAAAAGCTTTTGTTCGAACCATGCCAAACTAGCATGGCAGAACCCTCAACAAGTTCATCTTCATCTTTCTAGCTTACAGGTTCTCGTGAAGATGTCGTCACTTTTACGGGCAGCGTACTACACTCCGCTGTAAACACAACGATCAGGAAACTACGATGCAGAATCCAACCGATTGTTTCCAACCATATGCTGTAAATAATACCGGCATATTCTTAAGCCCTTTGCAATCACATGGGACGTTATTGTCTTGGCCATCACTCTATTCAGCCACATGCTGTAAATACAAACATATTCCTGCTTGAATAAATGCAAAAGGCCTTTTTGCAGCCACATCGAACGTTATTATCTTGGCCATGGTCCCCCCCACCCCCCCACCCCACACTCCTCCTGCGGCTTGGTTTCTGAATAGTCTCACTTGGTTTCTGCATCGGCTGTTTTGGTTTCTGAATCGCTGTTTGGGTTTCTGAATCGGGACTCGCTTGGTTTCGGCCCATTTGGTTTCTGAATCGTAGTTGCTGAATCGTCCGTTTTGGTTTCTGGATCGTAGTTCGTAGTTTCCTGATCGGTTGGTTTCTGAATCGGCAAATGTCCTCGTCGGGGTCCAGGTGGTCGTGGTCGTGGTGGTGGTGGTGGTTTTAAGAACCAAGACAGGGGCTAAAAAGCTACAAACATATGTTTAAAAAAACAAAAAGGCACATGTATATGGCATCATATGGTTATAGTCCCCCATAACAATTCTAGGGCCTAGAGTCCTAGAGCAATTTGGGGAACACCATGCTTTTTCCGATAACACACAAAGATATATATGATATATGATATATTATGTATATATATATATTACAAAAAACAGAGAAAGGCCCGCCCCCCGAATGTTTCAGGCTTTCGCGTTGGTTTTGGGGATCGCATGACGGAGATCTTATAAGATTAGGATAGATTAGGACAATTGCACTTCAAAGACAAAACACATATTACTCCGTTCAACAATGATCGAGACTACGGGCTTCAGCAATTCCATGCGAATAACCGCGGAAACCGAGAACCCTAAACCCCGCGGCGGTGCGAACCATGCGTAATGGTAATACCTTTACTGACCATGGTCTACCAGCTAAGGTCCTGACGTCCCATGGCTGATCTCGCAAGGAGGCCTCCAGCTTTTAAGATGTAGAATGGACGTTTCGATTGATGTGGTCAAGGCGGTCAGGCGGTGAACATTTGTCAAAATCTTCTTTCAAGGCAAGCAGAGTACCTGTAGGCCTCACTGTGGCTTTTGCAGCTCCTACCAGTCGATTGGTGTTCATCGACTCGCTGGGGCCACTGCTTTGGTCACCTTGCCCATGGTGCCGCGGTGATGCCGCCATGGCTTTCAGACCAATAACGCGATATCGGATTGAAACGTCACAGTCCACTCGAAAAACAGGGTAGGATGGAGGCCATTGCTAGCAGGTTGGAGGCCATTGCTACTTGTAGGTTGGAGGCCATTACTAGGGTGGAGGCCATCGCTAAAAGGTTGGAGGCCATCGCTAGTAGGTTGGAGACCATTGCTACTAGGGTGGAGGCCATCGTCAGTAGGTTGGAAGCCATTGCTACTACTGTATGGTACTAGCAGGAATCAGGCATCAAATGTGCAACTTCTTTGAGTTGCCTTTTGCTTATTTGGCTGAGGCTCGTCATTTGTGTGAACACTTCCACACTTGGTGCATCAAATGGAAAGACCTGGCTCATATGCTCAACCTGTGTTTGATCTGCCGACTCGCAACATCTCGCAAGATCGTGAGGTGACAATTCGAGTGAGAATCTCTTTTCGGGTTCTAGAGATCTAGAGCCATTGTTGCCAGTAGCCACATCTCATAATTACTATCGCTCCTCACGAACTAGTGTGCAGCCCCCAAGCCGTGTTCTCCCAACCAAACAAAAGTGGCTGTCGCAAACATTCGGGCCTGCTGGGCCTGCACTTGTAAGCAGACTGGGAAGCTCTCCAGCCCTGGAAAGTGGTGCTCTTCAGTCTTCAGGCTAGGAGTTTGCAGGTACGAAGAATGGTGAGTTCGAGTGAATTGATGGCGTATTGCCCAACTATGGGAAGAGCAATGCTCGAAGAAAAGCGTGATGATACCACAAGGTGTCAATGTGTCAAGTCAATTCTAGTTGCATGTCTGAACTCATTGACTGACGAAGTAAGCAAGTACGCACGACATGCAGCTTAGATCGGAAACAAGGCAATGCTTTAGGCCACAAGGCAATGCTCCGCTCTAAACGACTGGGCAGTGAAGTTAGAGTATTATATATATATACTGTATATATATATATTTGCTATATTACATTTGTTACCAACCCGGAGCATAATTTTGGTGAGCAAGTCGGGAGCGAGAATACGGTACATACGTCTTTATGTGTGTAACCTCTGTCTGTTCTTACAGCATCTTACAGCTATGTCACGTCTGCTGGACTCCTTGCCTTGCACTTTCTGAAAGCAACGTCACCAAACTACTGTATACCAACTCTATTTATGCGGGCCCAAATCTTCCTCTCAGGCTGGCTTTAAATTAAGAAACAGTAAGCAAATTCACATGAACCGAACTGGCAATTGATTCTTGTCGAAGACCAAGTGCTCGACTGTCTTGACGATGTGCCTTCCGGCCATTGGGCCACCGATGAGAGTCTGAACCAACGTGGGCCCTCCTTTGCTGACCATTCTAAGCCATGACAAGCAGCAAACACATGCAAAGGTTCTCCACAAATATTGTCAACATATTCCCAACCGGTGGAAACCAAACCTACCAGGACCTACCAAGTTAGCACATCACAGGAACAAAGCAGGTCGAAGCAAGTCATGCAAACATTATCTCCCACTAGCTGCTGCGGCCCGCACCTCTTCGCAGGGTTTCAGCTGGGACCCCTGGCAAGTGGATTTCCGACAAAACGAGAAGCTTATTTACAGGTCTATTACATGTCTCCATCATCCTCTGTCTATCTTCTTCAAACCTTGGTCCCAAGTTATATATAGGTTATTTTCCAGAAAATCCAGGAACCAAATCATTAGTGCGAGCGCTCTTTCAAGGAAGCTCCCCCCGCCCTCAGGCGGGGGAAGCTTCCTTGAAGACGCTTAAGTAAGGTAGTAGCTACCTCGTCTCTACTAGCTACCTCGGCCTAAGCCCCCCCCGGGCAACAACAACGCAACAACCCGCACCAGCCTGGTAAGGCGATCTCCTGAGGGGAGATGGGCACACCTTATGAAGCGAGAGGAATCCGAGTGCGGCGGAGTACAACACCTGGAGGAACAAGTCTAGCAAAAAACCTCTCTTGCTGGATTTTTCATCAGCCAACCCGCATATCATATAATCTACAGTATTTTAAGTATTCTTGATTCAGGGATGATTTGGTTTACAATCACGCTGTTTCCAAACGTGCAACGGCCTGTGGCACCCCAACGTGGAGGTTGAAAAGCCAACCGCCGCACGAATGCAGGATCGCAAGCACTGTTCAGGGCCTGCATTTGCCAGCCCGTTTGGCCAAATGCGAAAGTCTGGTATGCGATGTATTTTTATGTAGCTACCGTTGTCATTTCGGCTGCTTATCAGCTACCCCGCGGAAGGACATGAAAGTACCGTATGATTTGACACATTTTGAAACCGTGTTGTATCTGCCTTTGTCGAGTCAGCCACCGCATTCCAATGAGCTTCATCACGGGGATAAGCCATTCTGTTTGCTCACCTTGAGATCGAGAGGATTCTTCAGCAAAAACTGAAGGAATTGCCAGCACTGAGTTGCACGGTGACAATGCTGATCAACTCAACTCATCAATCACTTTGGAAGCTTTCTGCACCCAGTTCGCACGGCTTTCCTATTGCTTACAAACTGAGAAGTGCACGGCCTGCCGCACGGCCGACTGGCAAACCCTTTCGAGCCTCCTGTACACTAAGCGAACGCAATACAGGGTGATTAGCAATCCAATGCATGCATGGGTGGCAAAACACATCATGAATCATGTACAAGTATATATACAGTATACAGATTATACAGTACTGGCTTTGGAACTTGTCAGCCTTGGGGCCAAACATGGTACAACAAAGTCGACACCCATCATGTCCAACTACTACAAGTAGACAGTACGCAACAAAAAGCAGTCGATCTGAAAACCAAACAGATTCTTGCAAAAGCTTCGGTGGGCTTTGTGGCTGTGGGCAGGTCGGCAGGTCCCTGGTAGCCCGTGGTGATCCTAGCCATAGCAGGGCCTGGATCTTAAGCATTCACATGTCGTTCAAAGCGGAGATGAAATTTCATCGGGTAAGGCGCCAGAAGTGTGCACGTAGGATACAGTAAATGGCCCATCGCGGGTAGCTATGTGCCCACATATGGCAAGCATGCAAATCCACTGCAAGAAACGCACATGGTACATCACATGGATATCAGTGATATCATGATATCAATGTGCCAAGGTTTGTGGTTCCAAGCGCCAACTTGCCACGATCGCTTCCAACTTGAAGCGCTTCCAGTATCCGACTAACACAAGTGTGCATTGGCTTCCCTGCCGCGTTTCCAGTCCCGCCAGCCTTGGCAAGGCAAAATACAGGAATCGAATGTGTCAAACAAATCGTGAATTCAACGATTTGAATAATCTACATATGTGTGTTTTTTTAACATTGGGGGGTAGGCCGCGGGGGAAGCTTCCTTGAAGAAGCGCTCGCACTGATGATTTGGTTCCTAGATTTTGAGGGAAACTTAACTAAATCAGGGTAACATAAACGGCCTTTGAAGCCTCACTAATTAAGCGGTTTGCAGTGTGCTTTGTCTTGGAAAGGCGCATCGCGAGATTCAAGACCAACAGTCCCTACCCGTACTTTCCAGCAACAGCCTGCATAATATCTCTATGGTGGTCTATGTTGACCATATTAGACATCTGAATTATGGAACAAACATGAACAAACAATCTCCTCTGACTGAGTTTCCAAGGCGAAGAATCCAACAATATAAGTGCCGAGCCGAGAGCTTGGAGCTCTGTCGAGAACCCTGAGCACAATTCAACAACAAATATCATGTGCACCTTTGACATCGTGGGATTTGAACACATAAAGCCAAAGCCCTTGTGTAAAAAGGATGGTGGAGCTTGTTCGCGTCCAGCAGCATTACACTAGCCATTGTTGGCCAGCACGGTCAAATAAACTGGAAGTCAGTTGCAATGCTTTGAGTTTGAGAAAAATGAAAACACACATCTTTGCCTTGAAATCAGCTAGGGCTTGTCCAATGCCTTCTGACACTACTCACTACTCCCCAAATGCGTACAATGTCAGTGTCCAAGTACTTAGGCTTCATGGGCTTTTGAAAGTGATCGGTGCTTCCACAAAAGAATGTAGTAGAGTAGAGGAACACACATTCCTACCTCCATTGCCAAACAGTATCGCCTCTTCCGGATGGTCACAGTCGGACAAACACACAGTCAAACATAGACCACCAAACTCCTCAACATCGCATGTCAAACGGTCGCAGTCAAAGGCATTGCTTTTCTGTTTTTTTGTGTTCTTCCGCGATTGGGAGGCGAAGAAGGACTCACGGCTTCGGTGGATTGTTCTGTTGGAATCGCCCCTTCAAGTTACCTCCTTGAATCCTCCCTTCAACTGCAAGCTGCCTGACCATCACACGAAACCTGGCCGAGGGAGGTCCATCTGTTGTCGGACTGAATGTCAAAGCTTCAGTGCTTAACATGCCCACTTTGCACCGTGGTTTTCACCGCGCATCCACTTGGAATTGTCACAGTCCACCTTGCGATGCCGCAGCCGTGCTCCAAACTGCGCCAGCCTTGTCGGTGCACCACGTAGTTGGCAAGGTTTGTGAAACCGACGTTTCAAGGGTCAACGGGTTGGACCCTAGGAACAAGGACGCTACTAAGAATGGCAGGAACGGGTGGACCCCAGAAACAAGTTGGAAATGGCAGAATTACAGTACAGTAACATTCATTACTGAACACTTTGCAAGCAAATCACAAGAATTCACATCCACAATCCAAGGCCAACACCATGGATTTTGCAAGGCTTGCCTGGAGTACATAGACAAAATCGGCAACCAAGGAAGGATGCTTTCCATATAATATGTTTTCTTATGCTTTCTTGCTATGCGATTCATCAGCTGTCCACTTCCACAAACTATGTGATGTTTTCCGCGAATTCCTTTCTCGAGCCAGGGAGCTGGGTGGTGATTCTCCGCCTCTCCTCCACGCAAATCTGGGCCACGGTGGTGGTGTACACTGATTTGGGACATGCCAAGGTCGAATCTTTTTGCACTGAGGCCGACAAAAGCCAAGATTGCAATGAAAAGTGCGTTTGAAGCACGTCTCCATGGCTGGTGCTTACTTGCCCGGTAGCCAGTCGGCCAAACCCATCTGTGGCTTCCCTGCAAGCTGCTTGCACAGTTCTCGAATCTCTGGGCGACGGCCAGTGGCGTTTTCTTCGCCCCACCCTGCAGTGGACAGGCCCAAAAATAGCAAAACTCCAGAAACGATATCAATTGTGCTACAAAACTGGCCAAGCGCGCTGAAAAGTGTGCGTGCATATATTGTAATATAGGTCTATAAAAGGACAACAGCCAATCATGACTCACCTCATTCAAACATCAGTCATCAAACAGTGTCACGCATGCAGTTTTATTCCTTGTTCGCTGTCAGTCGTGCTTCAGAGCCGCAGCTCACAGCAAGACTGGGATGCCAGCCCATGTTCAAGGTTTGCAAGAGAAGGCCAAATGAGCTGTCGTCCTTCAAGAACTTGGCGATGTCTAGCAGTCTAGCAAACCATCAAGCCACAAGGCCACAGCAAGCAGTAGTAGCTGCATACTCTGAAGGCTGACTTCACCCTGGCCCTGATGGTTGTCCTCTCCGAAGGTCAGTCGCCCATTCAACCTCTGTGAAATCTCAAACTCCCAGCAATGTCTCAGTCGCCTTGAAATCTTGGTTCCCCGCAAGGACGACTCATCTACGAAGCCCCGAGAATCCTTGGACACTGCAGTCAGAAGTGTGTCAAGGTCTAGACTAGCTCTCAGTACAGGGACTGCAAGACTCTGCTGGTCGCTTGATGCCTCCGTCTACTTCTCTCTGAACAAAGTCTAGTGAGCTGCTTGGGGGTCAATGCCATCATTCTGATTTTCATTGCTTTGCCATTAGTCATCATATGTCATCATTAGTCACTAGAAAAACTGCGCTTGTGCACTACCAAGATGCCAGGAAGGGGTTGTGGCGAAAGATCAGCATGTAAATGCAAAGGCCTTCAACAGTACGACCGAGCAATCACACTTATGACTACGACAAAAACAGTATAATTATTATCCAGAGTCTACAGTGGAATGAAATGGGATGAATCTCTTGCCCAAACTCGGCGCAGCCTCAGCCATTGGTCAAAAAATACTTGGTGTCAAGCCACGCTGCTAATGCTAACAAAGGCTACAGGCATGCAATTAAGGCCAAGTCAAGGAGCAAACATCCTCAAAAGAAACCCATCGATTGAACATGGATTTCCCGAGGCTAAGGACATATTGTCTTTAACAGTCGTAGATAGTCTTAGACCCTACCCTCCCTGTACTCCAGCACCCAGGCCTAGTGCCCATGCATCAGCCGGAAAGCTATAGCCTTCACCAGGAGAATACGACCAATGTGACTTCAAGGGTTCTGATCTCAGGGAGGTTTGTCCATCTGCCTTCCATCAAGGCCAATATATGAATGTCAATATGAAACGAGCAGGTGCGGATCTTTTTGAAACAAATCAATGAAGCCGTCCGTTTGTTTCTACGCGATTCAATAGCAGCTCCTGCACAAGTCAACTGGACATTGCCCAACGTACGCCCGAAGGGTTCACGTGTCCCAGCGGAGATGCCTCGACTCTTGCCAGGCCTGAAGAAGCTGCGCTTGAAACGGTAACCGAAACTGGGGGTTTAGCAGCAAGACATTGGTCTTTATTTCTGGTGCTCCAAGTCTTGAGGAACGGATTCGGTGTTCTTTCTTGGTTGAGTGCTAGTGGCCAGCGGCTAGGACGGCTAGGAGTCTATCTTGTCCGTCCTACATTCACGATCTTCTCTCCTGGAAGACCTCTGAACAATCACCGGAAGCCCCAGTGGATTTCTTGGCTCCTAAGTGTCACGCAAAAGGTGCAGCTCTGGTGACCTTGCTGCCGGCATAAGGCATCATGCAAGAAAGGCATGCAGATACTTGTATTTCGATCTATGCTGTTGTGGTAGTTTCTTCGTGACTGTTAAACACGTGCAACCAGCAATGGTACAAGGACTGAAGGAACTTCTGGGAAACAGCAAGAGTAAATATATGATGGCAAACATACGAGTGACACACCGTTCCGTTCCTTCTGAAACTGCAACTCCAAAGTACGTATGTACCCTATATATATATTGGTATTGTGGCCGCAACTGGAGGGCTTTGTCCAGGCTATCTTAATGGAAGCAGTCCCTTTTTGTATCTTGGCTTCGCTGCCTGGCTGGTGCTTAACAGGTAGAATTAAGACGTATAACCGCAGAATGCACACACCCCGAAATGCCCCTCAATATCAAGTTGAATCTTCAGTGTGCATTCACACGGATTCATATTCATGTAGCCCTACGAGGGTATGCTGTGCGCCCCGCATAAACCCAGGTGTGCCACAACGATCGCCTTAGTCTCAGAAAGGTCAATCTGCACCAACAAAGAGGATATGCCGCATTAGATTTCGTCCCCAATGGAAACGTACACCAGTCTTGGCAACGAGTTCTACAAAACTCTCCAACATCTTGAAGGTCAGGGCCCTCACTCCTGTCTGCAAGCAAAAGCCAGCCTATATGACCTCTCAAGAAGCGGTTCAAGCACACCATGTCAAGGCCTTGGCTTAAGCTTTGTCCTTGAGGCCTTGGACGTCAACCAAGCGATGCAAAGGGTGATAAATGTCTGTCTAGGCTTCGACCCAACCAGACTGGACTTAGGCAAATGAACGTTGGTGTCAAAACACATCACGCTGGTGTCAAAACACATCAAAACACTCTTCGGATGAGTTCTGTTTTCTGCCGGGGATCCACGCACGAACACGGCCAGGCCGAAATCTGAGAGCTTCAACCTGAACCAGCTGCACTCAAAGGGAAAGTGAAGCTATCCACGATAGCGGATAACAATAGCCTTAACTCAAGCTGGATAACCTCAGAAAATGAAAACATCCCCTGAGCGTCTCCTTGCCATAACGTCTCGAAGCTTCACCCCTAAAGTTTAGCCCTAAAGCACAGGGTAGAGCACGGTGGAACTACCATGCACCATTTGGGTGAGAAATAGATTATCTTGACTGAGGGGACCCCGCGTGTGGACCCCACGTGAGGACCCGTGTGCTCCCCCGGGCTACTTCTTTCATATAGATTTGGAGGGAGTTTTTAATCAAAAACATATCCCAATACTGGAGGATTTGTCCAAGCTAAAGTTATCCAAACATCAATCAGGACAATGCTTTCCAGCTGTACTAAAGATTTCCAGCTGTACGATAGGTAGGGGTCCCCTTCTGGATATTTACCAAAAATTGACAAAGCAATCCAAAAACATAACGCTCCGCTATCTAATCTAGGGCATTGGAGGTCAAATGACCCACACTTTCTGGAAACTCTGTGCAAACCATGACCAACCCCTTTCTGTCTTGGCCCCCTCCATCAATATCATCACTAGCTAACATCACCTGAAAGCGGGCGCAGTCTCAATATTCAACACACCCTTCAGGCGCTCACGTTGATCCTCGCAGCATGTAGTTTTGAGGTTTTAAGTCTCTGTGACCTTAAGAGTTGGAGAAAACTGGTTGGCAGTCTGCGTGAGTACGATCATGCCGGGCTCTGATCAGCTCAGCCAGTGTACATTCTCTCTTTGCACATTGACATGCCGCTGATTCGCCTTTATCGATGCATGCTCAAAAATAATAGAGCTTCACATCTGCAATCTTCAACGCCTGCTCATGCCTACTAGCCTGCTCCTTCGCCTTGAATCACAGAAAATGGCTACTCCAAAAAGCCACTGAGAATGCTACAAATGCGCATGCCATGGAGGCTTGCAACCGCAGCGCACATTTGTCTTGACCTCCAAAATGCAATCACCAACAGTGTTGGCAGCTTGAACCCAGAGAAGTTACTCCCACAGTGTGAAGCAAAACTCTTTAAGCTAAAAACATGAGGAACATGTCAATCACTGTATCACTTCATAACTCTTCATAATATCATCATATATAAGAAAACCATTCAATATCATTCAATCTATTCATATCCAATCCTCTTGCTCTTTTCCCATGTGCCTGGTTCAACTTTTTTGATTCATGTCAATCAAGTCCAATAAATCATAATGCATGACATATCATCACATTATAATAACCTTGATTCCATGGAGGGCCCGCGCCACTCTGCGGACTGCTCTTCTGTGACGTTCGCCTTTTGAGCGATGACCTTGGTCCGAACTGCTCGCATCTGGAGGGATCTGATGCGATTGACGTTCCCGCACCGCCTGTGGCCCCGGGCACGCTCACCAAGATCGCCCCCTTCACAGCACTCCATGACAAGGTAGACGTGCTTCTCTTCCTACAAGATGGGTTGAATTCAAACCCATTCGCAATCTTTCAAACCCATTCTTATGAATTTCTATGGTGGCAGGACATAGTTCAGATCTGCTGTGTGTAGCAGAACTTGGGACCAACCCCTGAAGTCTCCTGGCGGGAGTGTAGGGAGAGCCCAAGCCAGGTCAAACAGGTGCCAAGACTCAAACGGCATAACGGGTTTCTTCTCACGCCTTCAATCCGAAGCTTCTGGCTCCTCTATGCCTGGGACCACAAAACCCCCTCCTGGAAGACGCCCAAAAGTTGGGCAATATTCTCGTGCTGGCAGGCACGCATCATCACCACCTGAATTCGAAGTGACCGAAGAGCCGCAAAGGGTCGGGAAATACTCACTTTGCTCCTGTTGAATGAAACCGTTCAAGTTCAAGCAATTTGGCCATTGAGAGTGTGAGACAAACTTCAAAAGGCTGTGCACAAAAACAATTGTTTGCTCGTGGCCATCGGTCTGGCCTCCCTCCCCATATTGTCACGAAGCTTGTGTCCTGCATCACATGCAAATCGTCATTGGGAATTGCAAAATTGCCACTTATGAATCGGGATCTGTCATTTTGTTGGAGATTTGGCCACCAGAAAAGAATCAAAGCGCACTTTGCGCCCATGCATGCGCAAACATTTTCGCAACTGTTCATCGCCTCTGCGACTTTGCGCGAATGTTTCTGCCTTGCTTCGTCAACTAGTAAGTGTATGTGAGAGTAGATTTAAGAAGGATATTTCTACGACATGCAACTATGGAATGGTATGCTTGCGGCATGTCAAAGTATAAATAAATTTCAATCAAATGATCGTCAACAAGAAAGGAACAAACATGTGGCTTGTCAATGTAGCTGCATATCCACTATAGGCCAGGCGTTTTTCACGGCTGGACGCGCCCCCGTTGGAGCTTTCAAAGGCCTCACTATTTTGCTGGCAAACAGTGGCTAACACCAAGTTTGCTTGCTCAATTTCTTGGAATGTCTTGGAGTTGTCTTCAGCAATGGAACCGAGCTCAGAACCAAGATTTCCAAAGGGATCGAACAACCTCAGCATGTGGGCTCTAAACACACGGTGCCCATTCCAGCTTCATCTTATGAATCACAACAGCCATCGACGCCCATCTCAAGAAATGCAAGACTTTATGCATTTTCTCAACTACGCCACCATTTCTTGTGGTCTACCCACTGCACTATTTATGCAGATTGTTCTTTTCGAAAAGCATCCGTTTTGTCCAAAATTCAAAATTCAAATCGGCTGTCTCACCCGCTCATGTTCCAACAACAAGATGTTCCCATGGATGAAAGATAAGCAGTCAGCTTGTGTTCCTCAGCTGCTCAGAGTGTGCCACTGAGAGATTTTCAGTTACTGACTAACAGCCGTTAGGAAAAGTTCAAACTTGAGGCCAAGGGGGGGGGCGAAAGCTAGCGCTCCAGAATGGGAAAGTGGAAGGCAGCGAGGTAGGAAAAACACGGCGCTCTTTTTGGAGGCAGTCAAGGAGACGTCGCGGTGGCATCGCAAAGATCCACCTGCAGAGCGGACTGTCGGAAGTCTGCGGGGAGGGTTGTCAGAGGCTGCAGAGCGAGTGCGGCCGCAAGATACGCAACGCTAACCGCATGCCAAAGAGCGACGACAGGACGGAGTCGAACTTGCGAAGAGAGAGGAGGGAAGGAGGGAGGGAGGGAAGGTCGAGGAAGACAAGGAGGGGAGGCAGGAGGCAGGACGCCTTGCACAAGTTTGGCGGGGCAAACGATTTCAGGTGAAGAGTGCTTTATATGTGGCTCTTTGCCCGGGTCCTCCTGAGAGAGAAGAGAGAGAAGAGAGACGGAAAGACGAGAGACAGAGAGGAGAGAGAGAGAGAGAGAGGAGAGAGAGATGAGAGAGAGATGAGAAAGAGATGAGGGAGAGATGAGAGAGAGAGAGATGAGAGAGAGATGAGAGAGAGAGAGAGACAGTGAGAGTGAGAGTGAGACTGAGACTGAGAGTGAGAGTAAGAGTGAGCGAGTGCGGCCGCAAGATACGCAACGCTATCCGCATGCCACAGAGCGACGACAAGACGGAGTCGAACTTGCGAAGAGGGAGGAGGGAGGGAAGGTGGGAGGAAGAGAAGGAGGGGGGAGGGGGGGGCGCTTCGACCTGAAAGATCAGGGGTTAGGATTTGCACCCGATTGAAAGAAACCTTGCGATCGCAAGAGTAACTCCAGCTAGCTTCGCTAGCTTTCGTGATATCATATACTTTCGTCTCACATGCGGTATTTTTTTGTTTGAAGGGGATTCCAAACTGTGAATCTTCCGAGAAACTATATAGCCATCATTGCTATTGACATCAAAAGAATGATTCTGGGCAACGCGGGGAAATCAATTGCAGCGAAAAACAAGCGTGGCGCCAAGGTTCTCCAACTGATCTGGAGCATGTGGTGAAAACATTTACCTGCTCCAAAAAGGGGTTCAGGTGCTCATGACACTGCTCAGCCAATGTCCATTTCATCAAACACTAACACCAACAGATTGGCAATTCTTGGCTCAGACAGCTAAATTCAAGTTTAAAAGCTTCGGTTGGCAAATCCCACCTCTTTGGGTTTGTTACGTGGTACAGCTTCAGCAAGCTTTCCAGATCGTTCCAGATCTCTTCCGACCAGAGAGGGGTATCTTTCGAGTTTGGCCTTACTGCCGAAAAGTTTTTCGGCGGGTTCACCGGGCGACTGATCCACGGATACCTGCCAGGCTGCGTGGTTCCCAAGTCTGCCATTGCCTCCACAGGCCGCAAGATTTGTATATAACATAGCCTGGCATACAATATAAGCTATGGTTTTCTCCAAATCTGTTGGGTGTTAACTATTTGCTTTGATAAATTATAATTCATTCTGATCATGAGCTCACACGGCACCTGTCGCAACCGACCAAGCGTTGGTGATAAAGCCAGTGGCCCCTCGCCATCCTCATCCCACTGCTTCTGTTTCCGCTTGCGGGTGCGGCTCGCCACAAAGAAGTGCAATGGTTTCTCAGCGAAATGTTCATGAAGAGCAGCTTTCAAGAAAGCCACGGACTGCATGGATCCAGTCAACCCAACGAACCGAAGTTTGACCGCTTCTACAAGGGAAGTAGTGCTTGGCGACCGGCCGACTGCATGCCTTTTTTCGATGAAGCGGAGCAATGAGCCGATGTGCTCCGCCACCATTTCAGAGGCCAGCAAACCCATGCGAGAGCGGTGTAGGAGACGCAAGATGTGCCACACTTTCCTCCGCTGCACTTGGGCAAAGCTGACACGCATCAACGTGCTGTGAACCAAGACTGGATCTAAGGCGGTTTTTGAATGAACCACCTTGCAGCGCAAACCCTGCTTGGTTGTCACAATGGTCCCAGAGGTCATGATGCTGCGGCGCCTAAGATGTCAACTCTGGTGCGACCTCTGCTTTTTTGATGAGTTGAAAAAACCTTTCTAGCCAGGGTCAAAAAACTCTGATAAATTTGCCCAGGCAAATCCATACATTAAGACATTTCAATGTCCCGCGCAGATATGTTTGGTTGAATTTTTGCAAGCGCCGTAAGCGGCAAGCGGTAGTTGTGGAAAACTTCGGCTGGAAACAGTGAATGTACATGGACATACGATTTTGAAGGTGACGAATAACTTCAGCATGCCTGCCATGGCGCTCGATAGTCCCTCTGACTTGTTGAAGCTCCAGGTCCCATGGTGGAGCACCCTCCGCCAACTCTGTCACCACCGCCAGCCGAATCGTTTTATGGAGTTGTCTGTGGCGTGAAACTTCCAACGATAGTTCCCGCGCAGCTTTGTACCTTGGTTCGATGTAGGAAACCCCCACGTAAAACTAAAGGCCAAGATCCTACAATCAGAAAATAGTTTTCCTGGCAACATGAAGGTAGGCACGCTGCCAGCTCGTAAACTAACATCTGTGCGGCAACATGTGTTACCCACAAAAGGGTGGCAAGATGCTGGGTCCACAAGTCAGTGGCATCTGGCACCACATGCATTTCCGGCGGCTCGTGCTCAGAAACATGTTGCAGACCCCAGATATTAGGACCATGAATGGCAGTAAGAACTTGCAGACCTGAATTTCAAGACACAAGAGGCAATGGGGTGCAATGGGCACTCCCATTGGAAACTGTGTGACTGTGTGCCTCTCTCTATTTATCTACCTATCTATCTATCTATCATCATGTCTTTCTATGATATTTTTGGGGTTTGTTGACAAAGGACTCCAGGGCACGGACACTCAAAGAAAATAAGAAACTGGCTTTTGCCAGCAATCGGCAACGGCAACAACGATTTGAAAACTGAGCAGCTTTGGCGTAGCACCCCTTCGACAGCCGCAGGCTCTTCCACAACCCTGGCAAACTCAGTCGCAGGCAAGAAATACTCTCCAAACAAGCAAGCATGAGCAGCTGCTGCTTGCAGTTTGTCTCCAGCAAAAACCTCATGATGCGCCACTCGGGCGAAAGCTTCTCCGTGAAGTATTCGGTACCACATGTCCGCCATCTTGAACATCTGATCCACGAACATCAGCCGTCCCCGACGCTTGACCAGCACAACTAAATCATGATTGCATGACTGCAGGAGGCTCTTCTGCGCCTGGACAATCCCTTTCCAGCGGGATGTCAACACAGAGTCTGCTCGGTGAGGCAAGCAAAGCATGTCTCTGCAGCTGGAACGCTGCTCGCATGGCCGGGAACCCGTCGCCCTGTCCATCTCTGCAATCTGTGGCTCATTTTCCTGGGGCTGCGACGTTGGACAATTCCAAGCAAACTTCCAGGACACAACCCAGCGGTACACAAACTTAGATAGCCATAGATGGCATCGATATTGCTATATGGTGTGGCGTCAAATTTCATTGTTGATATAATGCCGATTGTTCAAAAAAACATCGTCGGCCCAGCCTCTGCCAGCTCCGGACAAGGGATATCTGCAGTAATATCGGAAGCTGGAACCTCCATTTCGATCGCTCCGAAGGCACCGCTGTTTGACAAAGGGTCTCCAAAAAGCATCTCTTCAGGCATCAAAGATTGAGCCTCCAAGGCCACATTGGCTGCCTCATGTCGCATGACACCTCTTTCGTTGTCTGCCACATCAAAGCAAGAAGCCGTGCGATGCGAGCTTGGCCATGTTGAATCATAGCAAATGACTCGGTTGAAAAAAAAGAAATGCTCCCGCTTGCACCATATCAGAAACTCCACACAGGCTTTCGACAAGCATGCATAACGTCTTGCTCGAGCAGCCATTGCAGTTTCTCGCATGCGTTCGTTCCACGCACGTTGTCCCACCTCATCGCCTCGTCTGATCGGCTCCTCAAAGGGGTGATGCGTACCTCTTTTGAGGCCCACAGGAAGCCCCTGCCACAGTCCAGTGAATAGTAGCTCAAGGATGCGGGACGTAGCCTGAGGGAAGGCTTTGCCGCCCACCTTCCAGGCGAGCACGACCATGAAGCTTTTGACAGCATGTTTGTTTGGAATTTCCTCCCGCTTCCATTTACAGCCAGGGCCAACGCAAGACAGTATG